GTGCCCGATATCTGATTCCCCGCGACGCCCGTTGGCGCGGCACGCCAAACGGGTGTCCCTCTCCCCGCAGCCGCGGCTTGGAGGTGTGTGGAGAGCAGATTAATGAGGTATGACTTCCCGGTGCCACCTCCACCATCCACATGGAGCAGCAACTGAGAAGGCTCCTGATTCAGAAAGTGGTCCATCACCGTATCGTATACTAAGCGCTGATCTCGATTTAGGGAATCGCGGGCTTCCAATGGCTGATGATCCACATCAAGGCCAAGGCGGTTTCCCGCTTTGCGCTGCTTCCAATAGTCACCATTGAGAATGCCATTGTCGGTGTACCGTCCAACGTGGGGGGCCCAATCATAATTGACGTCAATGTCGGGGGCCCAATCATAATTGACGTCGATGTCTCGGCAGCCAAGGATGTCGATATCCTCTTCTTCCAGTGGGCGGTCGGGAAGCATGCGGGCGAGTTCATGCCAGTCCTCCTCTACAATGGGCTCCTCATGAACATCAAGCTCAAATTCATCGTCCTCGGCCCTCAATTCATTCGTATCTGGCTCCCCATAGTAATCATCCGCATGGGTGTCGTGGTACTGTCTGCAGCGCTTGTACGCAGTCGCGAAGGAATCGAACCGCTGCTCGCCCACAGTGAGCAACTCCTCTGGAGAGCGATGTGGATGAGCCATCATCAATTTGACACGGCAAAAGTCATTAAACTGGGGAGAAGCCTCCATGGACCTGTATCGAGGGAAGTAAGACAGGACTCTCTTCTTCGCGTTAGCAGCCAGTCTCCTCCACGTCTTGAGATTGTACGATTGCAGGTACTCGAGATAGGTCACATCTTCATGTTGGTCATTTCTCTCCAGATATTTCCTATAGCTGCCGACGGTCTCGTTGACATCTTCATCCACGCGATACGAACGCGCATGTTGCTCCAACGGGCGACAATCCACGGAGACGACCGTTCGAGTGCCTTCCTGCAGCGGGATGTTAAGCAGCAGATGGGAAATCTCCTGCGCGGAGTAATCCCTCTCGGCAATCAGCTTATTCATTAGGCGAGAGGAGAAGGATAACAGGGGCTGAAGGTGTGCCGTGTGCGGCAAAACCTGGTCTGCAAGTTTACAGTAAGGCTCAGTCTTCTTCTCAGATTTGCTGCAATACTTGGCAGCGTACGTAATAACCGCCTGTAAGCTGGTGCAGGGAGATATATCGATATTGGCTAGCCAGCCTAGGACAATAGCGGGATTGAAGTGGTTCATGAGGTTGTCATTCCGGGCTGCCTCGAAGACGTAGTACGACCTTCCCTCCTTCCTGATAACTGCGGCCAGCTCCCGCAAGGCGCGAGGGAAGTCAAAACGACACTCCCTCTCGGGATTGGCGACGTTGGCCGCCTCGATATCTGCAGCAGCCCCTTCCATATCCCTTGCCAGGTCGCCGGTTCTCTTCCTCACACGCAGGCAGTACGTCGTATTGCACCTGTGACGCTGGCACCGGTTGACAATTTGTGAGAGCCGCAGGAATGTCATCTCTATGCTCAGTGGATCTACGCTCAGGGGATTACCCTCACCCTGAGGCACAGTCCTAGTCGGCTCGGGGTTAATGGCAGTGACGTGAAATCCCCACGTGCGTGCAAATACATCGCGACCGGCTTCGTCCTCCATGTCGGCTCCAGGGCAATTCTCCATCCAGTACAGGCCATGGTTGTGCGGACTACCACGCCCTTGCCACTCGTACCGATCCCAGTAATCCGTGATTTTGAACTTCTTGCTTAACACGATATCTCGAAAGAAGCAGTATCGGTGGTAGAAGTGGAAAACAGCAATGTGAGGGTTCTGCCGCAATAGCTGCCGCGACAGAGCCATCCTCTCCGGCTCGGAGGCGGCGAGCCAGTCTTCATACCGGGGCATGTGTTGGTAGAGACTCCGCCAGTGTAAATCAGCCGGGCTAAAGGTGATGAATGCTCCAGGACAACCAAGGTTATAGGCGTAGGCCTCGAGCTCCTGCCTCTTTCTGTTCCAGAAGGGACGCGTGCCGCGAATAGACACCGCATGTCTTGTGATCGAGTTGATCAGCGCCAGCGCCTCGGGGTCCTCGCTGTGCTCCAACGCCTGAATAAGCTGCTCCCGAGTGAGCGGTTCATGACTGCCCCCCTTGTGTTGTTTCACGAAAAATTTGGACCGGGCACGTGCTTGTGACCTCATCAGAGTATTGAATGCGACGAAGCGGAAGGTCGGGTGGCATGCAAATCGCCCGTCGTGCCAGCGCATCGCATGCTCGATGTAATCCTTGTAGTCAATGGAGCGTAATCGAGGCTCAACAAAGTCGGCTCTCCCTTCAGGGAAGAGGCAGGGGAGCGCTAAGGAGAGTAGAGCATGAGAGCGATTGAACTCATTAATTGGCGTGCGCCGTACATTCGGAAGCTGCAACTCGTGCTGCGCCTGGAAGGTTTCGGCAAGTCCTGGATCAGCTTCTGGTTCTCCGGCGAGAATAGACCGCAGAGCATCGAGCTCCGTGTCCTTGGCCAAGAGGTCGGGCACCGCAGCCTCGTCCTCCAGGTCAGGCTCTGCCTCTTGATCTTCCCCGGGTCCAACATCGACAGCCTCCACTTGGCTTTGGGGGATAGCATCCAAGACATTGCCGTCCTGAGGCAGTTGGCTCAGTCGTTCTTCGTCGATGGTGATGCATCGATAGCCAGGGTGATGGCGGCGGAGGTAGTTCAGCCATATGGCAACCGGCCGGCGGCGTACACGGAACTGGCGGATGAATTGCCGGCTAAGATTTGCATGGGACGACGTATTGGCAGGACGGAGTAATACAGTGTTCAACTCTTGCGGCAAAAGCGGAAGTTGGTTATACACCAAGCCAACCTCACGGAGAAAGTGAACAACATGTCCCCGATATTTGTACTGCTGGCCTCGCACGAGCATAATATTCACATGGACGTGAACACGGGCTATCAAAGACTCTTCGGCAGGTGTAAGCTGAGGCAATTGAGTCGGTACGGGGCCAAAATCCAACTGGTTGTCCACAGAGAAGAAGTACGGCTCTGCGGGGCCGCGTTTCTCATCCTGTCGATAGCAACGCGCACAAATGCCATCGCAACCGATCTTCATCTGGAACCAACGCTCTTGGCATCGACCACAAAATTGCATTTGGTCATTGTCCAGCTTTGTCCAGAACTCTCGGAGGATTGCATTATCGCGACCAGTTAGGGCCGCAGCCTCGAGGTCTCCATTCCACACCGGGTCTTGTGCGTGAAATACCGCCGATTCTTCAGGCGGAATGATCACTGGGCTCCGATACCGTCGTGGCGACCTCGACGATCGAGTTTGCCTGCGAGATTGTCTTGGTCGCCCTCCTCTACCAGGGGCAGGACCACGGCGACCACGCCTTGGTTGTGCGGAAGACTGCCGCAAACGACGGCGAAGAGGGCTTTTCTCCACCGAATCATCCTCCTCATCGTTCTCGTCTTCGTCCCCTAGATCGGAATCAGACTCTACCCCCAATTGTTCGAGGTACCTCCGTGGTCGAACAGGTGAAAGAAGCAAGTTGAAATAGTCCTCAACGTCAATATCGGATTCAGAGAACTGTCCCCGGTCATCCCCTTCCATGGTTATCCCATCCCCATCCAGAGACCCACTCGGCTGTAGTCGATGTTGACTCGCATCTGCGTTTCGTCGTTAGCTCGAGCAAACTGCCACCACAGCAAAAGGATATCTTCCACAGGGCACTCCAAACCTTGAAAGACGCCGAGCTGAGATATGTTGGGAGTCAGCGATACGGCTTCCCCAGCACGGCGTCGTGAACGGTGGTCGCGCTGGATAGCGGCCTGCTTGGCCCTCGCCCTGGCCTTAGAGGAATCATCCTGCGAGTCCTTCCCGCCCTTGTGGAATCTAGCAGCCAAGTAAGAGTAGTCTGCACCAGTTGTGCTGCTTCGAACACTGGATGGATCAGAATGTGAGGCGATTGGATGGGTCGTTAAGAGAGGAGAGGGAGCTAGAGCCCGGAAGACCTGCGAGCTTTGTTGGGTTGGTGGAACTGGCGTCCCCAGCACTACGTGCGGCTGGCTAGTTGGCTCCCCGAATAAACTCCTAGCTGTATCAAGTTGCCGCATCTTCTCTGGCGATGTTGGCCGGGTTCCAGACCTCTCGTTGGCAGGCGATAGGCCAGCATCTCCGTCGCTTCTCTTCACGGGATTTCTCTCAGGTGAGGATGGACGGACTGCGACGCTCCGCAGCGTATGAAGCACAACATTGGATCTAGAATGCTTCATTTAATGAGGATTAAGAGTCTTAGACGAAGAAGGCACGGCTTACATGAGAAACGCGTTGGTTACGGCAGTCTAAACATTGCTTAGTTGGGGGAGCAGACCGCCTCTTGGCCGTGAAGTAGCGCTTCGGTTTGTCCTCGCCACAGCGAGCACAAACGAGGAGCAAATCATTAGAGAGCTCTTCAGTGTTAAGACCGACACTCATTACTCAATTAGTGAGCCCATATCGAGATCCGTAGAATTGAGGAGACGAATTGACGGCGCGCTGCTGGTGCAGCAATGAGTAAACAAACAGTTGCACACAGGGGCAAGCTTTGGCAGGTCAATCTTCAGGGGCCGGTATCGATAAGTCCCACTCTTTTAGAGCCGTCAGCCAGTTGCGCGTGGTTTTGGCCATGGCCATACAAACTTTAGACCAATCAGAACCCAGAAAACTTATTTTCCCTTTCTGCACCAAACCCTCATATTCAGGAAAACTTATGGATTAATGTAG